AATAATAGCATGCTTGCTTATACTTATGGTAGTTTACTTTATTAAATTAAACATTTTAATTAATCTCTTTTCTTCTAATAAACGATAGGCACAAAAAGCTTCAAGGAGCATGCCCCTTCCTTGGCCATAAATATGTACATATGATATGTAGGTCCAGCTGCAGACTTTGGAATGCCCCTTTATACTATCTATTTTGTTTTATTATGCTATGTAATTTTAATTTTGTATTATGTTTAGAAAACTATATCTAAATGTTAGTTATTAATATTTAGGACGTGCATAGGCTATGTGGTAGGAGTTTTAGTTGAGAACTGTGGCCAAATCTACTGTAGGATGTTAAACAGAAGCTACTAAAATTAGACATTTTTAAAACAGCAGGTCCAATGAACTTTCATTCAAGAGTTCTAAAAGAGCAGTCTTAGGCTCTTGCTTTCAATTGACTCAGTGAGTCATTGAGTACTAGGGAAGTTCCACAAGACTAGAAAAGCTAATGGGATGACCCAGTTAATTATAGGCCTATCAGATGGACATTGATCCCAGACAAGATAATGTTATAAGTGCAAATTAGCATGGCCATGTCTACTCTAAAATTGCTAAATTTGATTTAAGAACTCCTGATTTAACTAATTCAAACTAGCATCTCCTCACTATGGGGAAACATCAAAATTAGTCCAAGGCAGGTTCCATTAAAGTGGACACTCTATCATATTTAGAGCCTCAGAAAGCATTCTGGGGCGCTGCAGGAGGCCTCTTGGAGGCCAATAAGTTTGGATTAGCAGCACTGGAGCATCCACACTGTCGTTATTTTGAAATCACTATTTCAGAATTAACATGACTCCCCGTGAAAAGTAGGCATATAGATTCTAATTCTGTGGCTTGTTATTTCTAAATAACGTGCTTAGTAGTGTGAACCCACTGTGGCGGGTGGGGATTATTTTGAATTAAGGTCCTAGTGTAGACCAAAGCCATGGGTTGATGAAAATAGATCTGATCAAACTATCCTGATATCTTTTTGATAACAATACAAGGTTGGTTACTACAGGCAATAACGTGGATGTAACAGACTTCTGAAAGATATTTGCAAGATATTCTGATTAAAAAGCTAAGAATATTATAAAATTAAAATGAATAGGCTCTTCAATGTCTGGAATTTGAAACTAGACAAATCAGGATCAAAATAAGTGCTAATTTTTGAGAGTGAGGGTAATTAACTACAAGAACAATTCCCCATCATTCACAATTTTCAAATCAAGATCAGATTTATTTTCTAAAAGATATGCTCCAGAAATTACTTCTGGGACATTCTATGGACTGTATTATTCAGGGGGACAGAAAGAATGATCACAGGATGAGAATCTATGAATCAAAATTGTAATCTATGGCCTGTTTTGTTAAAAGGAAAACTACTTCTAGGAATGTTTTCTCAAAAAGCAGGATATCATATCCTTGTTAAGAAATGTGGATATATTATTTTCTATTTTTATGAAAGCAAAATGATTGTTAGTGCCTGTTTTTTAAGGTAACAAATGTGGCATCAGGAGCCTTTGGTTACCCCTTCCTTCTTTCCTCCCTGCAGTTTCCCAGGAAAGTCTAATGTTCATTTATTTAACTTTAAGGAGATATATATATATATATATATACACACACACACACACACACACACACACACACACACACACACACACAGACTGGTGCATTTTTTTGATTACTTATGTTTTCATTTAAAGGTGAAAACCTGTATTTATTTCTTAAATGCTTACGATGCTTCTTTTATGATATTCTTTGGCAAATCTTTTGCAGCTAAATGTAATAATTTAAAATGACATAAAATACTTTTACTAGGGGAGTAGTAATATACTTTATGTATCAATGTAGAATCAAGGGAACTTGTTAAAACTGGTTATTAATATAAAAAACCTATTTGGGCATCAAATATTTATATTGATTGGAGAATTAGTTACCTGGCATTGCTTAGGTAACTTTCTGATCAAACTCACAAAGATAACAAGCATATTTTCAAGGATCATTAAAAAGATGACACAATGGCTTTTTTCATGACCACCTGAGTTTAAAATTCTTCTTGAGAATTTTAAATTTAAATAGACAATTCTGAAAGCTCAGACCAGAGGGGAAAATAGGGTGATGTGCCCTGATGTGCAGCTCTAATAAGAAAGGGGCTGGAGTGTTCAGCACTCAGGGGCGGGTCAGCTGCTGGAAGGCATTCAGCTACTGCATAAGCAGCCCCATCAGCTGATTCCAGGCTCTCCAGCCAATCAGCACTCCCCATCTGCCCAATGCAACTGTTGACAGCCAATCAGTTACTGCATGAAGTTCCCTGGAACTTCAGCCAATGAAATCTTCTCATGGCCAAGGAGCCCTTTGGCACAAAGCCCCTCATATGTTTTAAAGTTTCAGAAGGGTAGCCGAGTTAATCTGTAACAGGAAAAACTTAAACAACTAATAGACCAGTAGCACCTTAAAGAATAACAAAACATGGAGATGGCATCATGACCTATTTGGCTTGTGGAATAGGCCTGAAGCAACACGGTGACATGGAGATCCATTAATGAGTGCCCAGGCAGATTAAAGTGTTCTCCAATAGGTTTTTGTGTATTGCCTTTTCGGATATCTGATTTGTGTCCTTTAATTCTTTCCCATAGGGACTGTCCAGTTTGGCCAATATACGTGGCAGTGGGGCATTGTTGGCATTTGATGGCATAGATCACATTAGTAGATGTGCAGTTATTGAGCCTCTATTTGGTGGCTGATGTGGTTGGGTCCAGTAATGCCAACTACATCACTGGATTGGAACTTAACTTCATTTACTAGTTTAATTCTTATGCAAATGGTATGACACTTATTAATGAATCTCCAAGTCACCGTGTTGCTTCAGGCCAATTCTTCAAGCCAAATACAAAGGGAAAGATTGGAATTTAACTTCATTTAATTCTTATGCAAATGGTATGACACTTATTAATGAATCTCCAAGTCACCGTGTTGCTTCAGGCCAATTCTTCAAGCCAAATACAAAGGGAAAGATTGGAATTTAACTTCATTTAATTCTTATGCAAATGGTATGACACTTATTAATGAATCTCCAAGTCACCGTGTTGCTTCAGGCCAATTCTTCAAGCCAAATACAAAGGGAAAGATTGGAATTTAACTTCATTTAATTCTTATGCAAATGGTATGAACAGGGACATCGGCTGGCTTGCACACTACCTTCCACATCCTAATGACTTACCCACCCAAACAAACAATGGAGATGCTAATTGTTCTTATCAGCCTCTTGTAACTATTTGAAACATCTACTCACTGTCTCACTTTCTTTTTTTTTCTTTCCCTCTCCATTTTTCTCTTTTTTTCCTCTCCCCCCTTCCCTTACTTATTCTTGGATCTGGACTTCTAATACTCCAGTCATCTGAAGAAGTGGGGTGTGCCCACGAAAGCTTAAGCTACAATCTACATGTTTTGTTAGTCTTTATAGTGCTGCTAGACTATTTGTTGTTTTTAACATTTTTTCTTATATGTTTGGTCAGAATTCAGTTGGTTTCACAGCGTGCAATGGCTGCAGTTCCAGCCTAGCTCTGACTATAGGCAGAAGAGACTTTTTCCAGGGAGAGGGAGCCAGGCTGGGGACACAACAAGTTTTTCAGCTGGCTGTAGGGGCTGTGGAAAGACAGCTTGGGCCAGCAAGCGGCTTCTTGGCTGGCTGCAGGGGGCTGGAGCAAGGGGGAGATGGGTATGCAATTAAGCAGATTCAGTGTCTGGTACCCATCTTTGGCAGAAAGATTGCAAAACCCCAACTTTCTTCTACCCTGAAAGCCATTCTGAACCCCCCAAGCCATCTCAGAACCTCATGCACTCTGTTATAATAATAAACAACAATATAATAATATATGGAGATATACCATCTCACAGAACTGGAAGGGACCTTGAGAAGTCGAGTTCAGTCCCCTGCCCTCACAGTAGGACCAAGTACGATCCCTGTCACAGCCTATCCCCACAGGCTCTTTGGGAACCATATGACATTAAATCAAGGGAAAAAAGTTCCCTTGCAAAGCACCTCCCCCCCCCAAATACACTTTACCCAGACAGCTAAAGAGTTTGAGTTAAGCAAAACAAGCTTCTAAATATAGTTCCCTTGCACACTCTACACACCCCAACTCCTGCCCTAAGCCCCCTGGCATGAGCCCCTCCTTCACTGCAGCCCCCTGCCTTATAGTCATCCACACTCACCCCCCAATACCTTGCCTGGGCCTCCTGCACTCCACCCCCATACTTATTTGTTTGTACAGGTACTGGAGAAGTATTAAGACAATTATTAAAATCTGACCGGTTCATTTTTTCCCCTCTAGTCTATATTGATATAATATTACATGGTACTCAACACCTTAAAGTAGGCCTTCTTCCCTCACATCTGCCATTAACATTTGCAAAAGGAAGAATTCTGGAAAGTATTTGTTGTAATGCTTGTTAAGACCTCTGCTACAATATTAATGCATATGGGTTGGTATCTGATATCCTAGAATTATTAATTTCCAAGAACAAAACATCAACCCAGAAACATCAGGTGCAAAGGCATATTTTATTTTAAAAAGTATTTATTCTTTTCAAAATAGCACATTTTATTGTATGCTTATCAAAATCTGAGTACGGTTACTGTTCTCAAAAACACAAACAAGCTACTTTTTATATGCATTCTGCTGCAAAGTTCAAAGGGAAAAATAATTTCAATAAATGGAGAACTGTAAAGTTTTATGTCCTGTATCTAATAGCTTTGGGTCTGGCACATTGCATTGATATGTACAATATTATAGTATCAGTGAATGTCATTGTGGTATATGATTCCTTTCTATTCACCTTGACTTTTATCTGGGGACCCCCAGGCATATAGATCCACATAAAATAGACAACATACATTAACCTGCAAGCTACCAGCACTGAGGTTACTCCATTCTGTAAATGCAATCCAAATATCAATTGCCTCATTATCTTACCTTGTCCTTTTTTTGTTTTTCATCCTGGTAGATGGTCCAGTGCTCCCCATCATTACTATAAGCAAGTTTATAAGAGCCCACAAACTGTACATGACCAAAATCTTTAGCTCCTTGAGTAATTATGCCAGTCACTTTTGTAGGAACCAGGAGATCAATCTATAAACAAACAAATAAATGAAACAGTGAAATACGCTGTGATATTTAAAATTCAGCAACTGACTTTGTGTTGCACAAAAATATAACAGTACATTCTTGATCACGTCACACATGAGCTATGACACCCAAGAGCACAACTAATCCTGGAAAACCCGAGGTTTGTAGAGAAACCAATTTAAAGATTCTTGAAGATGATTTCCAAAATGTCTTCTAACACCAGCTTGTATAGACCATTATTTTCCATGATCTGGGATATACTTATTGGATTGGGTTTATAAGAACCATACATCCTGGATAGAAAAATTTCCATTACCAATAAAGGTGATTTTACAATTGCACTATGTCTCCAGTTCTGATTAGGGCTGTTAAATATTGGTTAATGGAATAGTCAATTAACCCCATGAATTCTTATCGATCGTCTATTCTGTTGTCCCTCAGGGTGGGGTTGGCAGCCACTTTTAAAATGTTTAAGTGTGCATATTTAGATTTAAATCCATTTAATTTCAAAGTTCATAGAAGAAACAAGGTGGGTGCAGTATTATCTTTTGTCAGACTAGTTGGTGTTTGTGAAAGAGGCAAGCTTTCAAATTCACACATTGCTCTTCTTCAAGGCTGTAAAGAGTACTTGGAGTGTCATAGCTAAATGCAAGGTGAAACAGATTGTTTAGCATAAATAGTGTACATCAATAAATATATTGATAAACACAAATAGTGTATATTTCAATCTTTTCTACCTTGTATTTAGCTGATTTCCCGCCTCCCAAATACTTTTTCCAGATCTGAAAAAGAGCTCTGTATGAGCCTGAAAGCCTATCTTTCTTGCCAACAGAAACTAGGCTGATAAAAGATATTACCTCATCCACCTTGTATTTCTAACATCCTGGGATCAACATGATTACAATAACAATACTGCATGTGTGAAAGTCCATTGACGTAATGAAAAGATGCATAGCGAGTTGCAGTAGTCCATTCATGAGGTCACAGAGGATTGGATCATGAGAGGAGTTCCATACATGATAAGAATGGGAACAGTCTTCTGTCTAGTCATAGATTGCATTTTCCCCATCAGCAGTCCAGAAAGAAATACATACTTTGGTATGATTAGACAACTGAAAGGCAGTTTAATCCTGTGATTCAAAAAGCTCTTAAAGTAGTCTTGTAAAAATATTTCTTATACTGAAAATTAATGCCTGTTTTGATAGTGTAGGAAAAAAAACCTTTAATGGGCGTTTGTTTTTTTAACCTTCTATATAATCTAGATGGATTTCATAAATATTTAATGTAGCTATCATATTCAGAGTACTTTTAATTGAAATTCAGAGCAAGAAAATAACTCATTAAAATTCAAATGATTTAAAAGGTAAAATCATAATCAACCTTTATTTTAACACCGATCCAGAGTTAATAAAAATGTCTCAGTCACAACTGTTTTATGCTTACAGAACATATTTAGTGGCCTTGTAATATTTCTCTGAAAAATGATGTGGAAAGCTCAGAGATACTTTGACCTATATTCTGGTTTTTTTCCCCAGTACACTTTCATGATGCTAAATACACATTTTTTATAACAATATGTTGAATAATTATACTGAAACAAGAGCAAAATTATAAATAACCAAGGCATCAAGGTAACAGCTGTGTTACCACATGTTTCTTTAGCCTGTTTTCCCCCAAATGGCTACATCCTGCTTGCTTTGCAGGAGTATTTCCACTAGAACGTGTATGAAAAAGGATTTAAATCAGAGAACAGAGAGAATATCTTAATTAAAATAATGTAATGAAAAACATACCTTTCTATGTGGAAGTGGAATGAATATTCAATTAGTCAATTGCAAACAACAGGTTATCAAATGGATTACCAGGGAAAGAAGCTGAATTAGCATTCTGTTAATGGTGTATTTTTTCTGATCTGAATGTGATTAGCTGGATCACAATCACTGCCTGTTTCAATAAAGTAGAATTTAGAACTTGGCAGAAGCAATTAGGCTGTTACTGATAGGATCATTAACTGGTTACAAGAAGAACCATGGATTACAGTTTAATACATACTTCTACAAGCTGCTGATCAAAAAGCAGTTTAACATCCTGTGATTCAAAGTACTCTCCTGGGCCAAATTGTTCTCTTTGTATATCTCTTTCCTGCTTTGTCTTATTTCCTAAGGACTAGATTCACAAAAGATACTTAGAGGCCTAACAGCCATTTTTTGTGTCTGAGTTTGCCAAATTGGGCACCAAAGATGCTCTCAAAACCACTGCTCAGTTGGTACCTGACTATGTAGGAGTCTAAATTTCTAAGCTAGCTGTTTCCATTGTGGCATGCACAAAATTATCAAGGTCTAGCTACCTCTGAGCTGCTCTGCATCCTAGCCCTGACAGAATTCTTAAAGTAGGGGCTATCCAGCCTCTCTCACCTGAGTGATCTGCTCTAGTAGGCATGCTCTGGGCATGTATCTCCCACACAAAAATAGCCAGGGCAACCAGCTTAGGAATTTCAGGGGCTGGCTACCTGGTATGTGTAGGGTTGTGCCAGAAT